CTACAATTCMAGCTGGCAAAGGAAACTTCAGAATGATGAAGCCATTTTAAATCATCTTGATCCAGAACAAACAGAAAGAAGTAAATAATGAAATATTGAAAATATCCTAGAAAGGCAGACTTACAGTATATGCTTTCTAGCAACAAAGGAAAAGCAAAAAATCAGGTTTTGCACTGGAAAAAATTTAGTTTGAGACTACAGAGATAGCTGATTTTTTTTTGTTTCAAAACTCATGAAACAGTTTTACTTTCCTGCTCTAGTGTTCAGTCTTTAATTAAAATTAAAATGCCCAAGTCAAAAGTCGCTCAGCAAGAGAAGATTTGGGCATACATACATTTCTCTTGTAGCACAGTTGTCAGAATTCTTCTGTCAGTGGGCATTTCTAAACATGCAACTGCACAGTGAATATAAATAGTTGTATGTTAGATTTCCCGTTAAATTTGAGTTGTTCCAAAATAGTATTGGTTTTGTTAAACCTAAGTTGAAAAACATATATTAAAAAAAAGTGCTTGCTTCAATATGTATTTACCAAAGGAAGCCTATTTTAAGGTTTCAAGCACGTAGAGTGATGCTCCCTTTCAGCAGTTCTAACTAAAAATTCCATTTTTTCATTATACTGTGATAAAGAMGTTCAGCAGCACACATAACTAGAGGTACTAATTCATGCAGGGACTGCTAGAATGGTGTCCACATTCCAGGCTATATTCTCTTTTCCATGTTTGATTAATATTATCCTAGACAGTAGTAGTTTTAAAAATAACAAGATAATGAATTAGATGGAAATTGAACTGTAGAACAGGCCTGAAAGTAAAATAAATGAAACAGGAGGTGAAATCGTAAGTAAAAATTATGCTATTGTCCTCAAAGAGCTGTGAAACAGATTTTTTTAAAAGATTTTATCCTCAGACTTAACCTATGACTTATTAGTCCATGTAATTGTGTTGGCTTAGTAAACACATTTTTAACTGGCCACAAAAAGATCCATAATGTATTAACAAAAGCAAATGCACACAGACCCTCAAGTTTCCTTGACAAAATACACTTCAGGAGACATGAAAATCTGTCTTGGAATTCTCTCAGGAAACAGATTTTCACAGATCTACTGAACCATCTGGCATTCATAGATTACCGAAAGAAACACTGAGATCATCTCTGAAATTACAGAGAAGTGGGCCAGGCCTGATTCCTGGAGAACTGTAACCATGAAAAGCAGCCTCTCTGAGATGCATTTAGCTAACACAAACTGAGTTTACCACCTAATCCAAAAGGGTTGATATTGCCTCAATTGTTTTAAATGTAGATTAGTAACATGCAAGAAGGTTAAAATAAATAAATTAATAAATATATAAATAATAAAAAATATAAAGACTGGAGTTTAATTAAAATTTGTTACAATTTTTAGAAGCCCAAATCTGACTGATCTCAGTGAGCTTACAACTCAAAATTTGTTTTTTGTAATATTACTTTAAATTTGAGAGAAAATTACTTTTGAGAAAGATCTGTCAATCTGTTTGGCAATCAAAAGAAAGATGAAGGAAGACCAAAATGTGATTTGATTACAGCACAAGTGTCTCAAAGAGAACAAGAGGGGAACAAAAAAGCAAAGCTTCTCTGSGTAGCAAAGGCCTCTTTAATGTAGTGAAGAAAGCCATAAGAAACATAGTCTAAAAGCTGCAGACAAATTCATATAGGAAGGCATGAATTTTTAATAATGAGGTTGACAAATCACTCAAATCATCATTGAAAGAAGGTTTTTTTTAGCTTCTTAAAAACAGTGACAATTTTCTCATCTGCCTCCATATCTTCATCAGTAGGCTTGAGAAAGCACTTCACTATGCAAGAATATAAATATATGCCTAATGGGACAATAACAATCTGTTAGGATTCCATTTTATTTTCAAAGTGAAAGGTTTCTGCTGAAAAAAAAACCAAACCCTAGTTACAATTTATATTTTGGGCTTTTTTTTTTGTTTTTTTGTAATCAAATTGGGATGTGTTAATTTTATGCAAAACTGTTCAAAAGTTCAATGTCTGCCGCTAATTTATTCTGTCCAAAAATTCAAATAAGAGGGCAAATATTTTTCTTAAGATAAAATTTAAAAATATTTAGTTCAATACTTGTGGAAGGTAAGAAACCCAGTGTYTCTGAGACAAATATAAAGCAAAAAAATCCATGAATATTTAGGCTTCAGAGCCACATGTACCTTTGGGTTTCTTGAGCAAATCAAATGACCACTTAAAAAATGCAGACAGCATCATTCTTATCTCCAAATTAACATAAAATACAATGTTATAAAAAGAACTGCTTTTGTGTTTAATATGAGGATTATGTCTTACAGTGTTGTAAGAATTCAAGCCCACGATGARTTTTGATAATTGTGAATGAATAGCRRARGAACACTGCTTGGAAGGAAAAAGTTTCTTCCATTATCATCCCCACTCCTGCCTCAAGTCTGTTTCTTGATTGTTTCAGCATCTTTGCAATTTCAMGTAATTATTTTCAAAACATGTGAAACAGGCCTTTTCTGATTAGCTGAGCTGAAGAAAAAGCAAGGAAATATCTAACTTTTGATTTGAACAAACTGCCTGCTATTGATTCTCACCAACATTCACCTCAACACGGTTCCAACTTCACTGGCAGATCACTACTCCAGCTGCTACTGGTTCAGCTGGGAAACCACACACCTGTAACATTTTCAAAATTGTATACTATTCAGCAACTGTTAGGAGGGTAGGCAGGTAAGTAACCATTTATCAACATTTTTCGTTACTTGCTTCTCCATGGCAGAACTCCAAGTGGAAAAAACTAGAAAGCATAACACTAATGAATATCTAATATCTAGGATTAGGTATTCTAGTGTGACAAACTATGAACCTAATGTTTCTAAAAAAATTGTCCTAAGAAATAAACTCCTGAGACTACAGTTCCCAAGTAGTCACTGAAGAATCATGGGTCACCTGTATTACAGATGTGGTACTGAATTCCAAAGAATCATCCAGAATAAGAAAAGCTAGGCTTAATAAAGCCTGGAAGATCCAGTCAGCCCTTTGACTAGATTTTAYAACAAAGAGGGGACAAGTAGAAAAATGAAAATGCAGATGCCTAATTCTAGTAAAGGAAAAGGCATGAACTTTCATACTCATAAGCAAATAAAACTTCTTTATTTAAAGTGACTCCAGAAAAATCTTTATTACTGTAGAAACTTCATAGCTCACTGAATCACAATAACTGTATCAGCTATTGCGGTTTTTTGCTGTGGTTGTTTTGGGGTTTTATTTCCCAGAATTGTAAAAAGTCTGTGAAATTTTTAAATTACAGCTAAATAAAATGTGTGGTATTCCCAAGTTTCTGGAAACTTTTAAAACACTACCAAACCTCATTTTACAACTGAATGCATTACCTTAAGCATTATTCAGTTACATGAAAACAATCTCCTTGCATCCGAGTTCAAGTACCATGTTATCAGTTTGGAAAATAATGTTTTTCACTTATCATTCTTCTTGTACTTGAAATAGATAATATTACATTACTATGAAATAGATAATATTACATTACTATATTATATCTATATAATTTGAGTCCACAGAAAATAATTAAAAAGCTTTCATCCACAAGTCTAGATCTTCTTTCATCTAATGAGAAGAATTAGTGTTTCAACCTTTCTGCTACTTGTATAACTGTTGCAAAACCAAGTGCTGGTAACATAATGCCAACTTCCCCCTTCCCCAACCAAAGTTAAGTCCTAATTGCAACCCAGAAAAGATTGCTGCTCGGCATCAAAACCTACCTCCACACCAGCTGTTATACTCAAAATGTAGTTCCTAAAGGTAAGATTCATTCACTCTTCTATTGGTTATATACATGTATTTTTTAAAATAGAAAGAAACAAAAAATATTGAACATATTTTTTACAGATCACTGCAGAAGAGCATCTGTTGCAGCAATTACTCCTGCAAAAAAGATCGGCAAGTATGTGCTATAGCTGCGAGGTAGCTCTGTTGAAATAATTTAGACYATAATTAGGCAGAAACAGATTATTTACAGGAGGCATGGCCTTCTGGCTCTGTCTATTTCATCCCCCAGCATTAATACACCCTTTGTGAAAGGGACTGCAACTCTTTTCCAGCCTCCCATCAACATGCGCATAGGCTACAGTAGTTGAAACACTCAGGGAAACTGACTCCAACCTTAATTGCTCCCTGTGGTAAGATATGAAAAAGAATGTAAAGACAATGACACATATCTTAATTTTTAGTGAAAAGTTCTAATTACTCTTTGCCTGAAATAGACTTTTCATTGTGATCTACTATAAAGCTCAATTTTAGTCCTATTTKCAAAAGTAAAGAGATATTTCGTTTAATTTTATTTGTGAAGTGAAGCACGCAACATGTGAAAAAGTACATATTCATATATATATATATGTAATATGGAATTCACATACTGCACAGTAAGATTCTTCTGTAAAAGCTGAAAGTGCTTTAAACATAAGAGAATCAATAGAAYAACAAACAAGTAATATCTTTATTATCATGCAGAGTTATTTCAATACAAAAATCCCAAGAAGCAACATGAATCTGTGTTTATGCCAGTATAATCAGGTATGATCTGTGGAAGCACTTTTAAAATTAAAACAGGAGTTACAGTTCATTGCATAAGGACTTGGGCAGAAGCTTGTTATATCAGCTTTCTTTTTCATTTCAATTAGGTGGTAACATAAAACAATTTTATTACTTCAATTGCATTTTTCAAGCTCACAGAATAAAACAAAACTTCTGCTGCTCAGAAAAAGAACATCATTGTTAGAATATAAAGCCAGGGAATATAATTAATGTTTATGAAATATTTTTAGGAGACCATACAGGACCTGAATCTCGTTTAAAACAATGGACAATAAAGAAAAATATCCATGGCCAGATATTTTTACATATCTTTCAAAGCACTTTTAGTACTTCTCCACTTCTACACTTATTAATAAAATAAGTGTAAGCTTAATACTTACCCACAGATGCATAATCGCTGGGAAGTTCAGGATAAAGTTTGTTTGTATTCTTTTTAGCTGGAAGAGAAAATAAAGCAGCAACTTATATGAAATGCTAACATACATTGTTATATTTTGTAGACTGCTCTACGAATACCAGTTCAGTAGTTATTAAATGATTGCAGCTAACTATGGAGCAGCGCAGAAGAAAGAAAYAGACTTTGCCTCATAACCTTAACCAGAGAAATAAGTTAACAAGAGGAGATGCACAGTAAGGCCTCACCTTGAATGAAAGCCCTTTGACAGACACACTGTCAAAGAGCCAAAATTGTGTCTCTTCTTCTCTACTGCAAAACCTCTAATGATTAAAAGATAATAACAATCTAAAAGAAAAACTGTGATTTCTAGAAACAAGAAGTATCTAGAACTAGACTAGCAGTTTCTAGTAGGACTGTTCTTTTTAGTAAGAAGTTTCATTGTATCATGGAGCTTCTATATCCAGTAACATTAATATGTCCTTTGAATTATTACACGATTCTGTAACTATAAAACAGTGTTTCTACAGCAAATCTGTCAGACACAAAAGGTTTATAAATATAAACAAACAAATCTCTACTTTTTATCACTCATGGCACTATATCAACATGCCTTCAGTGTTTGTCCAAGGAAGAGTATTTTTTAAAGAAAATTACAGGCAGCTGCTATAATAACTGCATAGTAATAATTAGCTTTAATGCTCTAATTTTATTATCAAAAATTCTCACCTGGTGGTGTAGGCCTAACAGTTGGTTTAGGTGGCTCYGGTCTGGATGATGGTCTAGCAGGTGGGTCATTTACCTAAAATACACAAATTTTTAAAAAATGTTGCATTACAWCTGGACCTAGATTGTGACTTCAGAGCCTAGAAGACAAGTTACACTGAAAAAAAAAGTTTTAAAATCACTCTTTCTCCACTGGACTTATAGGAACTCAAGAAGCATACCAAACACTAGTGACACATACACTAGYGACTAAAGTAAGTCCCCATGGGTTTAACAAAGATGAAAGTAAATACTTGTCGATCAGTAATAACATCACATCTATAAGACAATATCTTCTGCAGTCCCATTTTACATTATAAAAGTGWTTGTTTGAATAGAAGACAGAAAAATAGAGAAACTAAGAGTGTCCAATTTGCAATTAACTTCATTAAAAATACTTGTTCAAACATTCCTAATCATCACCTCAGATTTGATAATGCACAGATATAAAACAAGGATATACTTTGCTGTTCTGGAAGATACAAAGCAAACCCAGCAACATTTTTGTCCCCAAGAGCCTAGCAGGGAAATACTTGAACAAAGGTACCACATGCAGTATCTGACATGCACTACACCTTGAGYCATCCAGTGGAGAAGTATGAACATCATGAACATCAGCATTAACACTGACTAGGAACAGCTCAGGAACAGGAAGAGCCTATGTGAAAAAGAGGTGCACAAACCCTTCTTTGCTCCCTTACAGATTTTCCTGGGTTATTTTTTTGCTCTTCATTTTCATACACTTCAGTGAAGGATGCTAGAGTTTGATAAAGATCATCTGCTTGAGCAGGGAAAGGCACGTCACCAAGCAGGATGGCACTAGCACGAATRTCCTGCCCATAAAACCTGATACAAAAAAAAGATGGCAGGTATTTGATTATTATTACATTTCAAGTTCTATATAAATTCACTTTGTGCAAATGCTCCCTAAATCCATCYCTGGCCCTGCATTTTTCCTACTGATCATATATTGAGAAATGACAGAACTAGTTCAATACTGTAAATCTGGAATACTGACCACAGTATTCTGTTCCCCTACACCACTTGGGAGGACAAGATAGAGAAGCTGTGATTGAAGTTGAGCCAGTTCAGACGGAAGGTGTGAGGGGGAAAGGTGTTGCTTTCTATATTTGTTCTTATTTCTCATTATCCTGTAATCTTATTAATTGAAAATAAATTGAACTCATTTCCCCTTGATGAGGTTGTAGTTTTTTTGGAGGGGGAGTGACAAAGCAGCTGGGCTGGCATGTAGTGGCTCACTAAGGTCAGCCTGTCACAGATAAATAATCTCTAAACATGTAGTATCATCTCGATACCATTGCAAGATGTCTAACTTGAAAAATCCTTGTCCCTTAAGAATTCTTAACTAAGCATAGCATTTTACACAGAAAAATSTTTTTCCTAAGTGAATATGTCCTAGTTAATTCTGTCACTATACCTTCACTGAATCTTCTAGATTTGAAGAGAACTTACTTGCGATTTGTTTCTTTCCTTTCTATTAAACAGGTTCCTTCCAGAGATACACCAGCAAACAGTCCTCGAGATTTGCAGTATGTATAGACAGCAGCAGAGCTTCTCAGGGCAACATCCCCTTCTAAGTTTCTGAAAGGAAAAAGCTTCAGTTGATATCCTTCAAGAGAATTTTGTAGCATGAACAGCAATTGTCTTTTTCTTTTAACTCTTTATCTTATTTTAACCCTATTTTCAGACAAAAGCCCAGAACAATGTTGCCTCATRTGGATGCTCTCCATTAGGTCTCTGAGAGACTGAACTGTTCATGGTTAATGACTCAAAACAACCAAGGAGGCTCCAGGGTGATTTGTTGAGGACAGKTTTGCATCCTTTGAGGGGTGAGTTTGGGTGTGCAATGCGATTCACACAAGACAGGACCGGGGGCTGCAGGGMGGGCTTGGGGATCGATAAGAGGCAAATCCTGCAAGGTGGGATGGCACCTTTTATCCGGTAATTGTTCACCCTCATACAACTCCAACTCCAGACCTTCCCCAGGGAAGGTCTGATGGGACATAACTGAGTCCATGCACTGATGAGAGAGGTAGTTGTCGTATTTCAGAAGGGATCATCAACCACAAAAGACCCCCAAAGCATTCCCAGACTGATTCCTGAGGCCTTGCACCAAAGGACTGCCTGTGCTGCAAAGGGATGCAAGAGATCCAGAGTCTGTGGCAAGAGACRGTGGCAAATTTCCTACCCAGGGCAAGTACCTGGGTGTKCCCAACTAGCCTGAATATATATTAATCCATTGAAAGCTAAGCTTCATGGAACCTCCACCACTGAGAAGACCAGAAGAAAAGGATCAACAAGATACAGAGTGGTGCTATTTTCTACCCAATCTGTCTCTGTCACTCTTTCTCTACCCACTTCCTCTTTTTCTATTCCTTTCCCTCTCTCTCTCTSGCTCTCCCTCTCACCATTTACTGTTAAATAGAATCCATACTATTGACTGCAGCATATGGCCTCGTTTTCCCCTTAATTTGGGCAGAKGCATCTGYGCAATAATTTTAATAACTGGATCTTAACAGCCTCCTCTGAAAACTATTAAGCCACATTTTAATTCCATTTAAAAATGATCTGATTATGTTTGGACTGCTCATTGAAACTATTCAGTATTTCCAAATACTCCTAGACTTTATGGTCAGCACAAAACATTTCAAGTAAGGCCCTATCAGATCTCAATAGATTTGGAAGATTACAGTATTTGTCCTACACAGGATCACATAATATTTTAGGTTTGAAGATACCTCAGCCAGTCATCTCAAAATGGATATAACATCAAATGGAGAAATGGATGCTCCAGTTTTTGAAGAATTCTAAGGATGTGCTTCCAAAGACATTGTGAACAACCTGAATCATCACTCAGTTTAATTCATGTCATATTTTTTTTCTCATATCCTGTCAGAACTTTCTTGTTGAAATATATGACTACTACCTCGTGTTGTCTTGTCAGGTAYCTCTGTAAACAACTGAGGTCTGTCTTCTTGGTAATGCCCTACTGGGAATCAGCCTCAGAAGACCTCAAGGTCTTCTTGCATCCAGGTTGAATAAGCTGAGTTCCTTCAGCCTCATGGTTCACATGTTGCATGTCCCTGGACATTTAGGTAGTTGCTCACTGCACACACTCAGGTTTATAAACAACTTTCTGCAGGGCTGAAACATGACACAATATTCTAGGCACACTCCATGAAATGTCAAGCAAATGGGAAAAATCAATTCCCATRTTTACTGGTTACAGTCCTGTTGATGTAACCCCCTACACTGTTCACTGCCTTTTCTGTCAAGAATCTACAGGTGGCTTAGCCCACTGTCCACCACGACCCCAGCACCTTCTCTATAGGGCAGCTGCTCAGCAAACAGTTGCCCAGGTTGTTATGTAACATAAAAAGAAAAATTATTTTCCATATACACCATACTAGGAAAGTTTCTTACCTACCTCCCCAGAGGTCCAATTGCCACAGTAAGATTTCCTCCAAGGGTAAGATTCCCTCCTTTAGCAAAAGCTTCTACTGCTCTTTCATGATTCAGTATTATCACTAAGTCTGAGACCTATAAAATATCAAATAGATGTACTATGCTTTTTAGGAAGAAAGAACARCACAGGAGAACGTCCTTTCTTGCAATGGATTATTTTGAAATAGCTTTCATGACAAAGTTGATTCTTTTTCTGCAAGGTATTTTGAAATGAAAAATTCTCTCAACTACTTTTTTAATCAAATTTGATTTTTTTCAAAGCGCTGATATGGTCAGCATGTGATAAACAACAGCACTAACAAACCATCTTAATTCAAACATCCTAATTACCAACTTATTATTTTCTATGGCTTATACAAATAATTATAAAGGCATTTTCAGATGTGAATAATTTTGATCCTTCCATAATTAGTTTAAAAGGCAAGACAGAAATTACTAAACAAAAATTACGACCCAAAGAATAAAAATTTAAAAAAATTAAAATCAAGGTGCTATTGATAAAACTTTACTTTCATGACACATTTTATATATGTGTGTGTGCAGATATGAATTATTAATTAATTTTTTAAGACTTGAATATGAGATGTAGTCAGTTGCTTCAAGAACCTATTAAACCTAATAATTGAAGAGGTAACAACGTACCCAAGGACTACTGCACCTGATCTCTCATCTGATGGACTTGACTGGAAGCCAGGTTCAGAAAAAAACTTTCAACTTACCCCAAATTCCAAACAGTGACAGCAGGGAATACAAGAGGAAATACCAGATTATTTGCAAAACAAGGCTGGCCTAGAAGTATTACACACATCACAAGAGAGGTCTTTGTTATACGCCCCCTGGTAACCTTCACCCCATCCCAAACAAAAGATGGCTACAGGAGTCATTTCTGAATCATCAAGGGATGGAGGGAGAATGTCTTGCAGGATACTGCTTTCTCCTCTTACCCACTAAGAGGATGAATCCATTGCTAAAGATGGATGTAAATCCACAGTGAGAGAACCTTCAAGGAAAGCCTTTATACCAATTTTAAAATTGGTCTTTAATTTGAGGTACCAAGTCACTGTGACTTCTGAAATCTATGATTTCCTTCTTGTTATTTAAAACCATGCATAAGTATCACTACAACTGGGTCAACTATTCTCCTACAATAATAAAATTCACCCACTTTCTAAAATGTCTAAGTTTATACACAGAAGAATATTAGAAGAATGCTTGGAAATTGGGCTCTGGGCTCCTAAGTCATTCAGGTATTTCTCAATAACATATATTTTCTAGAAGAAATAAAAGATTGTGTTACAATAAAGCCAGTAAGGAAACTGCATTTTTGTAAGCTGACTAAAATTTCAAATGAAGGGCACAATATTACTCAGAAAAAAACCCTCTCACAAATAGGTTCTGTATWGAAATTATTTGATTAAGTATCAATAGGAAATGGCTACCTTATGAGCCATGGGGATGATTAAAAGAAAATTTTCATAGATTATTCAAAACATATGAAGAGRTTTAAAAGGAAAGAAAAAAAAACCAAACAAACCCCACAACAAAACAAACTCTAGGGCTCAAATGGAACACTTTATAACGCATTCAAATCCTGTAGTTGTGAAAACCAAAGAAAAACCCTCACAGAAATTAATGATTTTGTATTTACATCATGCTTTAAAAAGTGCACTGCAATAATGCCCAAGATCACACAGTGAATAATGAGGAGAGGATAAAATATCGATCTCTTGCTCATTTTGTGACTGCTGGCTGACTGGATAGCTGGCTAGTTGCAGATGTACCAAGGGCTGACACGGATCACCCACATCAGCTAAACATGCATTCATCTGAAGAGCAGAATGCCCATTGCAAGACATCTTGTTGGCAGCATATTGTTACTGATTTTCTCTGGGAATCAGCAGAACAGAAGCTACACAGAGAAAAAGAGAAGGACAAGTCTGGAGGCTAGGGTGGGGAAGAGGAGGAAGGATCAAAACATGCAAGTGTGAAGGAGCTGTGAGAAAGAAAAAATGGGAAGCAGAAACAGAGAGCTGTCAGGGCTCAGCTCACCAGGTTTCTCTGAATATCCTGGGAATCCTTTACTTAAACATTTCTGCTAGCTGGAAACTGGTTCCTTTTCTACAGTATTCCTTTAGAAGAGGCATCACCAGTTTTGGTGTTTTCAAACTGAAGGGTCATGTCAGTAACCACAGTGTGGGTGGGAAATGTGTGAAGTACAGTAACAGTAAGWGGAGTTCTCTCCACTGTTCCTTGCCAGATGGAGTCCCTGTGCTCTTTAGCAAGGCATTTGATACAGTATTAAGTATAGGATACTGTTTAATTAACTCCAATTGTCATAYATGTGAACACTGACAGGAAACTTTCCATAAGTGAAAAAGTGAGAAATCAAGGAAAAAAGTGTCATGTCACTTCATCTAAATGTCTCCTAACAATTTGACTGATAGGATCAAACCCCCTCTTTTGCTTGTCTTGCATAAATGGATTTCATATTAGTATTTTTTGTACATAAAAGTAGATTCTACCATCTCACTGACATTTAAATATTTGCCTATGTATTTTAATTTCTTGCAAAAAAAGTCACCAACAAATATTTCAAATGCAAAATCATACCTCAATTCCAATTTCAAATCCACCACCAAGGCCAGCAATTCCTATTGCAGAAGGAGCAGACCAGGCTGCCATGTAAAACAAAATAAATTTATGGAATTTTTACCGCATATTAAAAGAAATACTACTACAGTTAAAAAATGTGAACAAATTCTCTATTTAAAACTATGTTCAAAACCACTACAATAGAACCATAACTCTAATGCTTCATCCTACAGGAAGGAATTTAAGAAATACAAACCTGATGATATAAACAATTCCTTGTTACAAATTATTTATCATACACTTGTTTATAATCAGATATAATCATTTTTTCTAATGAAATTTATATTATGTGCTTTTATGTTTAATCATTTTTCACAAAGACACTGAAAGCATTTACATTTGGTCAAAGGTACAAAGCTTTCACACCAAACATTGTCACCTACTTGCCTGACTTGTCACACATCTCCTGGTTTATACTGTGAAAAGAATGGAAAAAAAAATCTATCTTTATCTCTTTTAATTCTCTCATGAAGTACAAAAGGAAAATACCCACTTACTTCCATTAGGAAGACGTGCTAACACAATTCCACTTCCCCCGCGAGCAGTCACCAAAAATCCAGCTTTGATAACAGACAAAACAGCAAGGCCTTTGGCTTTAGCTATTACATGAGCTGAAACAGCAAAACCATTTATTCAAGACTTTGTAAGAGAAGTTCTAAGAGAAGGAGAAATCAAAACTCAAATATTAACAATTTCGAACACACAAGAGTAACGTAACTGAAGCAAATGCTTATAGAAAAAACTGCAAAGAAATTTGAACTAATGAAACCTCCACCACAAAGAACCACAAACCTCGCTGCACGTGACATTAGCTGTGACAATCTATACACTGCCATAACTGCTTCACCTTCCTSATCAGCTTGTACAGAATTTTAGTGCCACACTCATTGTGTGTGAGTACCCTTRTCAAGATAAACAGAAAACAGGCAAAGAACAGCTGACGACCACATCTCCACAAATTTTTGGAGGAGTCCAGATTTAAATCAMAGCAACACACAGCAGCCTAAGAAGCTTATATAATTAGACAGTGCTTGTGGCAAATATAAAAAAGTGTCATCATCCTGGAAACCTTATTGCAGACCTTCCAGAACATAACAGCTATGGATTCAAAACCACAACCAGCAACACCAGTTGGGGGAAGACACTAGGAGAAACAGAGTAACAACTGCAAAAATACAGAGGACAGAAGCAAGTAAGAGTGCTGAACTAGGGAACATTTYCAAAGGGAAAATGCACCCTGATCTCTTTGCTTCAACTTAATTTCACCTAGCTAATTCTAATAAACAGATATTCAAGAGTTAGAGCTACTATTCCAGGCTCTCTCTTAAGAACATACATTTTCAGYGTTGATCATGGGACAGTTCATCCACCCCAGAGGGAAGCCTTCCAGGACAGGTGCTTTGTGGTTGTAAACATTCAAAAGATCTCTCCCAGTAACATTTGCCAAGAATACAGCAAACTGAAACCCTTTACTTCCAAAGAAGTTATGGTACCTGAAACCTTCACTCATCTCTAAGTTGTGGTCAGTGGAAACAGGAAATTGGTAAARGTTACATGACTGCAGGACAGGGGAGTGCTGAAAGTTTTAGCTTAATCKAAACATTTTCTTTACTCACGTGGTATGATTTTATCTGGTCCATTTCTGGAAGTTATTTCTGTAAATTCTCGTAATATTTTAGCTGCCTTTTTAGCTTCTGACTTCAGGTTGGAAGGTATAGGGTTGTTCACTGTAAAACATGAAAGAAATAAATCATATCTATGGCCAGTTTAGGACATGTCATAAGATAAAAAAAACCCAACAAAACAGTATCCTTTGTATGGGAAACGTGTTTCTTTACAAATAAAGAGTAAATCAAACAAACACGGAAAAAGCAAATATATTATCCTCTGTATCAGATCCACATTTTATTTCTGACAGTTTGAACCAAAGACACCACTTAGGAAACAAACAGGCYTGATTCTTTTATGCAATCTCTTTCTCTGGTACTTCTTCAGAATCCACACTGGTAACAGCAAGGGTGTTAGAGACACATCCTCAGTTCGTTCCCGTCATTATTTATTTATGGGTTTATTGCATATGAATTAGTCTAATGCCTTTTCAAACCTGCTAATACCCAGCCTTTGGAATTCCTGCAGCAGCAAGTCACCTCCTACTACCTAAAGAAATATATGCTTTATTTTAAATTAATCTGCTAGTTCCAGTGAATGCCTGGTTGCAACTATTGACTCATGAGCACTAAAAGTTTCACAACTCTTCAGGAGACTSAAAGAGCTAAACATAGCTTTGGTGAAGATGCAGCAGGTATAACCTTGGAGAGTTTGAGGTGATGTCATCTGAAGGCTGTGAAGAAATATTATCCTCTCTGGGAACAAAAGGAAATAAATGCACAGAAGGCAACAGACTCTAAAATGCACTGTGGTATCAGAGCAGAAGTACTAGTTTAATCTCCTAATCATCTCTTTTCAGAAAATTAAGGTGATAGTCAAGATCCTGAGTATGAAAGGACAGGAGAAGGTGAAGCTTTAAGAGCTCAGGGTATTCAGAAAAAGGTCTTGGCATGTGAATTCTCTCTGACTGTTATGGTACTAAAATTGTCAAACTGCTTGCAGGAATTCTGGACATGCATTTCTTCTGTGGYTGGAAGGCTTCCCCAGGCTGGAATCTTGCTACATGGCAAAAATGGCAGTGTTGCCCAAATAAAACACAAACTGACAACTGCTTTTGGTAGATTAACAAACTARGCTGGAGCAAATGCCTCCCTTACTTCTGTTGTTTGTACCTGACACTGCATTTTCAAAGTCAGAGGGCAAATATTACCGGCCTCTTGCAAGAGAAAAATATTTTTGCTTTTGGATGGAGATTCATTGAGGCAGTCCCAAAAAGCATACCAAAACACTACTCTTCTCAATAAGGCATGAAGTATAAACTTAGCATACTGTAATTTGTAGTTAATAATTAACATTGTCATACACAGTGCATGCCTATTTGCAAAATCAGGTGAACACTTCTATATGTAGGTTAGAGGTGTCGAGTTTGGGAGGGGTCATCTATCTGGTCTACCCAAAATACACATTTCATGGTACTTAATTATGGTTCAGTAAGATTTAACTGTGGTAAAATGCGTGGTWATGTAGCTGACCATGCAGGACTTCTAGCAAAGTAATCAAGACAATGAAAAATAAGACATTTACAATGGAGATAAAAAAATATCAGGGAGTTAAAAAACAGTACTGAGCAAAAGCAAGCATTATCCAGCTTCTAGATTAGAGAAAYAAAATAAACTTCTGTGCTCTTCTCATACTCTTCTTCCTTGTCTTTGCATGCATTCCTTCCTTCCCTTCACATCTCTTTGGCTAATCTCAGACTTTTGAGAAACATCTCCAATTAGTCTTCCTGCTACTAAAAAGTAAAAAACAAAACAAAACAAACCAACCAACCAACCAAACAAAAAATATTATTTTGTACATATTAGAAGAGAAATCCCTTAGCTAAATCTATTGAGAAAACATAAGGTGTTTTCAGACCTAAAATTCTGCAAACAGGAAGGATAGAGTGGGGAAAAGATATAAAATCACTTTACAGTTTCTGTAAGCATTTTCACATTCAGAATTGCTTCAGAAAAATTCARTGGTTACCAGAAAACACTGTATGCATACCACTGGGCACACAGGAGTCACTATTTAATTGAAGACAATTCAAGGCTGACCTTCACAAGTCAGCAGAAGTAATACTGTAACTAGCTCACTGTCCCTTCACCTCCCAATACCTAACTGGTTGCTCTGAGCAAATTGCTCTTGTCAAAAGTGTCCATGCCTATTGAAAGAACAGTTGGACTAGATGCCCCTTTGCCTTCCAATCCCAAAAYTCTATCACTTATCTGCACTGTGATTCCAAAAACTGTATTCTAAAACACAAACTTTGCCCMAAAAAAATACCATTACTTTAGAAAACTGAAAATGAGGTATTTCCACTCTAACCCCTCTAAAAGGGTGATGGGTTTTTTTTGGTGTCACATAGTCTGGGTTACTTTTATTACCAGGTAACAGAGAAGCTGGAGAGACACTCATCTAGCTGTACACCACAACAGAAAGCAGAGAACAGCTTCACTCACCATCCTTGAACAGCAGAAACTTCACTTTCTCCCTGTATCACTTGTTTCCTGCCTACATCAGTATTGCTTCTGTATTCCTYGGGTAACTACAGGAATTCACTCCTCCATTATCTCCTGTGTTTTCCCTTCCTGCCACAGTCTGAAGTAATGCAGGATTATTTTTCTGGACTAAAACACAGCAGGTGGATTTGACAACAACATCTAGCATGTGGCTAGACTTGTGCACTTTCAGAAGCTAAGAAATGGGTGATATTTATAAAGTTCAACAGAGATACAGAGAGGGGAAAAGGGAAAGAAAAAAGGTTGAAAATGCTACCAACTGAAGAGTTCAAAGCTAAATCTTGTAGAGAAGGGCTGCAAGTAAAATTTTAATTTAGACAGTAGCAGCTATGAAAATTAAACTGACATTAATTGGCAAGCAAACATGGCACTGAGAGGTTTTAACAACAAGCAAGCCACCTGATTAAACACTTTCATGCTGAAAACCAACTCAGTTACCCAAAGTGGTAACCATATGAYTCTTTCCCCAGTGGCTCACTTTGAGTTCCTTTATTTACTTACATAATGTTGTGTAGATACTAAGGAACTGGTGGGATGTCTACAGGGGCCTTGCGGAACTGATAACTTGCTTAAAAAAAACAAAAAACAAAAAACAAACAAGTCCACACCCTGACCTTAATTATGTATAATATGATGCTTGATAAAGCCGGGCTGGACTCTCACTTTGGTGATTATTGGAACCACAGCATAAGAAACACAGTATTTTTATCACTGAGGAAAGGGGRAAGTTTGGCTCTCCCTCTTGGGACACCACACTCAAGATTTTGTTGACAGAGTTCAGGACTATGTAAGGACAGAGGCAACAATAAATATTAAAAAGGCAAAGTTTAATGGTTCAATACATAGTGTATATTTAATATGGCTGAGGCCTGACTCTTACTATTAAATTTTATATCAATTTCATAAAACTTTGTCCAAAGGCAAAGAAAATTATTGTTTCTTTAGTAAAAAAAAAGCCGTAATAAATTTGAAATAGCACAAATGTCAGATAATTCAAACCTAGTTATTCACTTTTTTAAAAAAAGGACATGGAGGTTTTTGCACTATGAAATGGTGGCATCTGTCCCAAAATACAATAGAAATAAAATAAATAAATWTTCTAGTGAAGAGGATTAAATTTTTGCTTCCATTTATTTCAATCACTTTGTAAACAGATCAAACTGTAAGTGGGATTTCTATGACCTCAAAAATTATTTCAACTTGTGTGCATCTATCAAATTGTCCCACTCTCTCTTAGCAATTGAACTGTAAAAATAGTTCCTTATGAACTCATTTTATATTGGAAGTCTATTGAAAAGATTTTACAGACATATCTGCTTTTAAACAACAATACTGTATGAAGTATTTAGACACAAGCAGAATTTCCGTGTTCAGTTTACCCCATCAGTAACACGTAATAACCCTGTAGCACTGTGTTCACTATTAGCTTTTAAGCATGCATATGTAATTGTCTGGTTTGTATTCAAGCACTGGTCAGGAAAGAAGTAACCAGGAGCAATRAGACAATAATATCTATTAGGAGGATACACTGACTGATGGATTTGGAATGCCGTGACCAGCGAATGCTCAGCTGGGAGTAAGCTTCATTTGGACTCGTGCTTGTTGTTGAAAGGAGAAGATATTGAGCATATGTGAGTCAGCAACACAAACCCCATGGGGGAATATCACACCAAAATTGGTTAACTGCTTAATTTGTAAGCTGATGAGGCAAGTGCGTCAGCCTCTAATTTACATTCTGACTAAGTAATAATTTATTGGCTGAACATTTGGTGAAATTATCTGAGCAAGGTGCATTAAAGCATAAATAAAGCCTTCTTACTTAAAAGCTATAACTAATTCTGATACAATGAAAATTCTGCTGAATATGAACAGATGAAATAAAGCATTATGAGAACCCAAACATCAAAAGTATAGTTTCAAAGAACGGACGACAAAGGGGAGACAAAAATTTCCATGCAGATTTCATACATGCACTGCCAGYGTACATTTGAGCTTTGAATTATTCTGTGGAAACTGGTTTTGTGGGGATTGTTGGCTGCAAAAAGAAGAAAAACCAATGTCTATGAGCCTCATACAGTAATTCAGTCTTTATTTTCACTTCACTAAAAAGTTCAAAAACAGCACAAGAATACATTAAGGCATAGTCAATTTGCAAGTACCCATGGTTACATCAGGAACATCAATTCCAAAAGGCCTGTATGAACAGAGAACACTAAAAATTATGAACATTCATGAACATGAGAACTAGTATAGTCAAGAAAAGTTAAACAACGTTTTAATGAGAAAGAGAAACCTGAAAAACCAGACTGCGCAGAACTGGAAAAGGACATCAACAAGAGATTTCAGTTTGGCATTACAATTAGAGAGATTAATGCAATTTTGGTTTCATAAATGTGTAACAACATKATATCAGGGTAGCCAGCTCCAGCCTTGGAATTCATCTGGTACTTGGAATTCCTTGAACAGCGTGCAAGACGTGCACTGTAAGCACTTTACCCAGCCCAAGAAAAAATGTTGCAATACAGAGCAGTGGATGGCAAATAGCAGCATATGCTAAACATGTCTCTATCAGTCTCTCTCCATTTACAATTTCCAACATTTAAAGCCAATGACTGAAAGCAAAGCAGCCAGGTTAATSAAATGTCAAGAAAAGATCTGCAGAATTCAAGGAAATATAGTGCCATAAATTGAAAAGGAACCTAGAGGAAACGGATRTTAAAAAATAAAGGCAATAACCACAATAACCATTTTCATTAGTTGAAATCCAGCAGACTACTGTTGTCAGAGCCTGAGCTCCTTACTCCTGACTTTAGAACCAACAGCAACATGCACATACTGTTTCCTCGAGATTCAAAGGACCATGAACCAGGAATGGCTCAGAACATCCACTTTGATCATCCTGCTGGAATTGACACAATCGTTATGCCAATTGGCAATGTTGTATGATTTTGACAGGCACTTGGAGAACAGCAAGGGAGACAGGTCACAACATAAAATACATCAGTGYAAGGCAATGGAAGCAGAGTTTAAAAGTAAAAAATAGGGTCTCTGTRCAGTGAAGCTTTGTACTAAGCTCGTTTATTTTGATCTTTATCACTTCCCGAAGTTTTACCAACTTGTATGTTTCACTGTTCATCGATGAACAACGGTGATGTGAGAAGTGACATGTCAGTGCCAGTAGAAGTTCTGGCAGGGTACAACTACTGCAGCAAGCACTCCATGGCCTTGCAGAGTATCAGCTGAGCTGCACTGAAAGACTCTAATGTTCGCTTTCACAACCCTAATGGTTTTTATACTGGGCATTAGCGTTACTACATTTTCCTCCTTCCCTACCCTGSATAACAAGCTGTTTACTGGATGGTATTATATTAAGCTGGGGCTTGTAGTGGTGAGAAAGGCAGAAGAGATCAGAAAACGCTGCAGAACCTGCAGCTGACAGCTTACAGAAAGCAAGGAGTTGGAAGTATTTTAAGGTTTACCTAGACAGATGGAAATATATTCTGTCTAAACACTGCACTGGAAAGAAGTAAAAAAGTGCTTAAAAATAAAGTTGRAAATTTAAAAAAACCCACTCTCATTCCTGTTAAAACCAGCCCGCTTTWCCTTGGTTTACCTGCAATAACCTGCTAAAGTTAGCTGTTGACGACAGCCTGTGCCCAGGAAAAACCTCATTTGCATACTRAAGTTAAAACTAAATTCAGCCTTCAAGAACTCAAATTTGCAAAAGGAATGACACATAATAGAAGATAGCACCTTCTCTAAAAGAAAAACAGCCAACAATTTCTGTATTTCAAATAGGAGACTCTCAGACATTTTTATCAATATGGAAAGCTAAGATATTTACAGCATTTTGAAGAATTCTTAATGAAGAAATTATTATAGAATTTGTGAAGCTTGTTTTTCCACAATTATATATATTTAGATATTTAAATCAGAGCAATTTGTGTGGGGGGAAAAAAAACCAAATGGCACTGAGATAATACTTCCGAAAACCTGCATGTATATCTGCATTACATCTATATGGTTATTGCAAGACAGCTAAGAAGTCAGACAATGAGAAAAAACAAAGCCATGTACATTTGGATTTTGGCATGCAAATACACAGTATGAAATCAACACAAAATATAAAGAATCACAAGTCTTTATTGAAAAAAGAACCATTTCAAACACAGAAGGCCTTTYATTGATAGAAATGAAGTAATGAAGWAGAAATGAAGTAATGAAGATAGATGAGCAGATTTCTTGCTTTGTTGTCATCTCTAGAAGTCTGCAGTTTTGAGTTTTGGGGGTTTGTGTGCTTGTGGTTTTGGGATTTTTTTAAAATATATTTTTATGAGTTATGAAAATCAAAATACTTCTGAAGATAACTCAAAGGAAGCCAGAATTATCAGAGGCATGTATATATGGTAACTCTAAAACCTGGAGAGGCAAACAGCCTCACCCCAACCTGCACGTGCACTATGTCTACCATTACCTGCCTCTCTAAGGCAAGTAACTCTTCACAGCCCTTACTGTAGAATCAGGTCTTTGGAAAGGACCTGAAAGATCATCCCGTTACAAGCCCCCTGCAATGGGCAGGGACACCATCCAYKAGACCAGGTTGCTCAAASTACCACCCAACCTAGCCTTGAACACCTTCACTCATGAGGCATCTACAACTTCTCTGGGCAACATGTTCCCAGTGCCTCCTCACCCTCACAGTAAAGAATTTATTCCTAACATCTAATTTAAAATTTSCCCCTTTTAGTTTAAAATCACTACTGCTTGTCCAATCACTATGTGCCTTTGTAAAAAGCCACCTTTTAGGCTCACCTCTACCTATGTTTATAGCTCTCCTTGAAGTACCAGAAAGCCACAATGAGGTCTCCCTGGAGTCTTCTCCACACTGAACAAACCCAGCTTTTTCAGCCTGTCTCCATAGGAGAGGTGTCTCATCCCTTTGATCATCTGTGTCCCYCTTCTGGAGTTGCTCCAACAGGTCCACATTTGTCTTGTGCTAAGAACCCCAGAGCTGATGCAGCACTCCAGGTGGGGTCTCATGAGAACAGAGTAGAGGGGCAGAATCTCATCCCTTGCCCTGCTGCCCACACTGCTTTGGGCGCAGCCCAGGGTGCAGCTGGTTTTCTGAGCTGCAAGTGCACATTGCCAACTCATGTCCAAATTTTTGTCCACCAGAACTTCCAAGTCTTTCTCAGCAGTGCTGCTCTCACTGACTTCTTCTCCCAGTCTGTACTTGTATCTAGGATTGCCTTGACCCAGACACAGCATCTTGTACTTGGACTTGCTGAACTTCAGGAGGTTCTTGTAGTYCCACTTCTCAAGCTTGTCCAGATCCCTCTTGATGGCATCCTGTCCTTCTGTTGTATCAATGGCACTGCTCAGCTTTGTGTCATCAGCAAACTTGATGAGGGTAAGCACTGAACTTAAGTTGAAGGCTTTCTGCCATGACTTTTTTAAAGGAGTAAGTAAATGTCTTCATGGTCAAGTTGTTTTGTTTTGKTTTTTTTTCCCTCTAAGCAGAAGTACTTTGTAAACTCAGGCTCACAGAGATAGAAATTGAGATCTTAGCTGATGACCTTTTTTACAGCAAAGCAAAACTTATTTGAAATGCGGTAATTATATAAAATAACACATGCAAAATAAGCTTAGGGTCTGCACAAGCTCATATAAATTAAATGGTATGAAATGTGATAAAAGTATTAATGCCTGTTAGCTGTGTCAGCGTAACTACTATCATATATAGCGTCCAAAGGCATAAAAGATTTTTGGTCTGCTYTAGTGTTTACAATGTGCCTTTTCAAATTTGGCTACCAATTATGTATGCACTTCTACACCAATATTTTTCATATAGACTATCCATTTTGTTAATGCTAAAATAACCCTATAACATGTATAAAACACCCCATGCCCACAACAAAACATTGTGACATAATTTTTATTATTATTTCATTACATTTTTCTCCACAATGAGGAAAGAACTTCAAACACAAAGTTGATCACTTTATAACTTTATGTGGTATCAGTCCTCAGTCCCACTTTGAATTAACCTCTTCCTTGAGAAAAATCAAGAAAAMGAAACCCTGTAACACAGAGTCTCCTGCATTATCAGAAGCATTTAAYGAGTTGGGTTCCCAGCAGTTTTTGTACAGAACTCAGCTTGGAGAAAATTCTAATTAGAAATGCCAAATTTCCTCTCATCTCCTTTTCTGAAAAGAGTTGAAATACATGAAGGTAAAATGGTAGTGACAAAGCTGAATAACAGACTTTAAAGAAAAACGTGTTCCCCTTGTATTTGCAAGATGTTTCAATTAGGTGACATTCCTTATTTCTAAGGARCTGTGGCATGTGAAGACAGTCGCTACCTGCCTGAGGCACAGAGGATTTGTTCCAAAAAGCACATTAGACATCTGTTCAGCTGCACAGGAGGCAGAGTAGTGGAATACCAGCAGCTAAAAGTCTTCAAAAATTCTTGTAGCTTTTAGCAAGTACAAGAATGGTAAAATGCCAAGCCCACAGTTCTACAAGTTGTAGCCTTTGCSCTAGAATAAACGATTAACACAAGGGGTGCGGGGAAGAAATCACCCTGGTTTGTGCAAAAGGAATCAGAAACCAGCATTTTCAAGATCTAGAGACAATGGTGTGCTAGAAAACAAGCACCAAAGGGAATTATCCTGGGGGTTAGATGTCTGAGACTCACATGTGAACTCTAGCAAGAATTTGTACTACAAGAATTGCAGGCTGTGACTCAAAACACGCCACCACACCTATCYATCCTACCATCCATGTCCCAGGAAACTGTCTACTTGAAACCCTTTCAGCAAATCCTTTATATGCACGTATTATAATATGTTGGATATGCAAACAATTAGCACCAAAGGGGTGCYACCAACCAAACAAGATAAGTAGCATGGCTGAAGCTAAGTCAGAGCTACAAATTCAGTTCTACCTTCTCATCTTAATCAAAGAGTTGGTATGATATGGGAAATTTGACATGGGGGTAAGGGGAAAGTACCAAAGGGAATTCCAATTTTGACTTGTTAATTCTATTTTAATCATGGAGAATAAACTTCAAGGAAACCCAAGCAGATTAACAAGTACATTATTACCCTTTGCAAATGAAAGCTTGACTAAAACAAGGCTGTTTTTATACAAGTATCCTAAACAAACATTTTGTTTATCTTCTCACCAAGGCCAGAAGTACAGAGAGAACAAAAATGTAACAGATGAAATCCAGACGTGCACTACAGAATAGCCCTCTATGCTACCATGAAAAAATATTAACTACCTGAACAAAATAGACTCATTTCCCAATGAAAATATTCAACACTTCTGTCAAGAAAACTGTCACCATCATTCTGATTCTCTCATTTCCACACTTCATAGTTGTCCCAATTCACTATGCATGTGAATCAATTCTAAGACGTTACCAACTCCCACAGCAAATTAATTCCTACAATTAATCACACAAGAAACATTTTTTCCAAACTTAAAGGAATAAGCACTTTAAAAGTGAAAGTGTTTGATGTTTAATAATCAAGAGTTTGAAGAACCTGGCTTCTGTCTAAGCTCTTATCTTGTTCACAAGAGCAGTTCATCCTTCATAGCAGCCCTGCATTATGGGCTCTTCTACAACAATGCAATAGCTGTTTCAAAAGCCCACCAAATATGGGGAACTTATTACATAAGAAATCATAATTCTTAATGGTGAGAAACCATGACACAATGCAAAGAACAACAGTGAATTCTGTTACAGTTCTTTTCAAAGGTATGAAGTTGGCTTCAGCTGAAAAAGGCACAAACTGAGACTCTGTTCCACTGCTGAGGGCTGAAAATTACAATCGTTTAGGTTGGAAAACACCTCTGAGATCATTAAATCCAACCTGTAACTAAATACCACTTTGCAAACTAGAGCATGGCCCTAAGTGTTAAATCCAGTTGTTCCAAGAACACCTTCAGGGATGGTGACTCCATCACCTCTCCAGGCAGCCTGTTCCATTGCTTAACAACTCCTTCAATGAGGAATGCAGGACAACACTTAAGGAACCTCCCCAAGACGGGAAACATAAAAGACTTTGCGTCAAAATTACAGCTGGGCATGTGCCTACATGTAACATACACAGACACAAACACTGGTTTTTATAGAAAAAACCAGGACGGTCTTTCAAAGCCCTCCTTTATACAGCCTCACCTTCCCTGACCTATAAATGCATAGGAAGGGGGAGGTGCAGAGGGGGAATCTGCTTTCTAGGTCAACACCTGAAGGGACTTCACTCGACAGAAAGCAGGACTAAAAGCACTYTGAACTCCTCAGTTATATAATATGGCAGAGAAACACGTGAGAATGACACAACTGACTCATCTCGCCCTCCTCCATCAAGGCCATGTCTGACAAGGCAGCAGAGCCCTGGCCCCTGCCTGGCTCCACCACCCTGCACTCCCAAAACCCGGGAGCTGCCTGACTACAGCAGGGTGCTGCAGGCACCGGGGGAACACTGGGGACAGAAACCATGTCGCTGATTATCAATTGCCTCCACTGCAAACTAAAATAATTAGACAATTTTCTAAAATGTGGCTGTACAACTGCATTTACAAAAGGAGCAGTGTATGCAGGACAGCATTTCAAGCCACATAAAAGGAAACATGCAGTTTGCTCCAGTCCACAGCAAATGTTATATAAGCTCTTCCGCTTTCATTTGAAAGTCACAGATTTGGCACAAAATTAAGAATCTAGCACTTTTAAAAGAATTATTCTCCAAAGTGCTGCGTTTTGACCAAAAGACCAGCCAAACAAGTCTTTAAAAAGAAGCAGAGGAATCCAGTCCTGGCCACACCCTGCTGTGGTGGGGCTGCGTCTGCTGGCGTTACAAAACCCAGCCAGGTACACAGACACAGTGTACAAGATAGCCCAGCAGAAAAATAGAAAGAAATAAATATAAAAGTTTTGTTAAAAAACTAACATAAATTATATATATATATAGTAAATATATATATGCATATATATAACTTATAATATATGGTAGGTATGTATCATCTATCTATATTATACACACATATAAAATACAACTAAATAAAACAAACCAAAATATCAGACACTCGAGCTGCCCTAGAAAGCGAAGCGCCCGTGTGCTCAGCCCAGCGAGGCCAAAGCCGCATTCGACGCTTCTTAGATTTTTACGTGGAGGATGCAGCACATGCTGCGACCCCGGGCGAGAGGGGGATGCCATGAGCCAGCGCAGCCCGCGGAGGGGGCG